CATAAAGCATATTTGTCTTAAACCAGCAGGTCATTACAATTAAATTCAAGGACTAAGCAAGCTTGCTTACCATCACCATAATCATGATAATTTTAATCATTGCTTCCTGAGAGTTTTTTTCCCCTCCTAGGCACTGTGTTAGGCTCTTCATATACATTATCCTTAATTTTTAAAATGATCCTTTAAAGTAGATTATTGCTAGGAACTGTTTGAGTTGTGATTTGAAACCAGGTATGTTTCACTGCAAAGCTCTGTGGCCTTTCTGTTACCCAGTTATTGGTCATTATTATTGAATATTCTGGAAGTTCTGGCCAGTGAAATAAGACATGAAAAGAAATTAAACCTTTAACTATTTAAAGTGAGAAAATAGTGTCATTATTTGTACCCCATAGGATTTGTAAAATTAGAAAATTCAGAAGAATTAATGATGAATTATTACAGCAATTTAAAAAATTTGGTGAAATGGCAGGACATGTGGCAATGGCCCTAGAAACTCTTTAGCCAGGCATGCAGATTTTGAAAGCATAGTACATACATAGAACAGCAAGGGAGGGGAGGGCAACACCTATCTTAGCTGCTGGTCGAATCAGTTGACATCAAGCATGATAGAGTTATTGTAGCACAATTGTCTTCATAGCTAGTAACCAATCAGAAAGTAATCTGGGAAAGGAGATCTCATTCACACTAGTATCAATGATCATAACACACAACACAACACCACATCATAATAACATCACAAAGTACCTAGAAATAAACTGAATGAGAAAGTGGGGGGATCTATATGATGAAAATGCAAGACTTTTTATTGAGCTAAAAAGGAAGTCTTGAGTAAATTATAGGCTTATGTCAATTCTTTGTTGAAAATTCTAAATATTGCAAAACTGTCACTTTTCTCCAAAATTAATTTGTAGGTTCAAGATAATCCAATGAATTTCCAAAGGAGGTTAAACTTTATATCTTAATCAAATTATTCTAAAATTTAAATGGAAGAATAAGCCAGAAGAACAAAGATAATTCTGAAAGGTAAGAGTAGTGAGAGAAACTTGCATCACTAAGTGTGTTATAATGGTGCAGTACTAGAGCAAGTAGAGATAACTGGGTAATTGACAAAAAAAGAAAATAGATATTCTAGAAACAGACACATTTTCTATGTACAAATAAAATGTAAGACAGAGGGAGCATCAAAAAAACTTATGGGGAAAAGGAAGGACTCGAATAAATGAGGTTAGGACAATTGATCTTTTCTTATGCTGTGGACTGAATTGTATCGTCTTCTCAAAATTCATATGTTGAAGCCCTAACCGTACCAACCCCACCCCACCCCCCACTGACTGTATTTGAAGCTAGAGCTTATGGGAGGTAATTAAGTTTAAATGACGTCATAAGAGTAGAGCCCTAGGATTGGTGGCCTTAGAAGAAGAGAAAATGTGATGACACGGAGGGCAGGTGGTCTGTAAACCAGGAAGAGGATTCTCACTGGCACCCAAATTGGCTGGCACCTTGATCTTGGACTGCCCAGTCCCTGAACTGTGAGAAAATACATTTCTTTTGTTTAGGCCCCGCGTCTGTGGTATTTTGTTATGGCAACCCAAGCTGACCAATACATCTTAAAACTCTACCTCTTAAAGCTTTCTCTAGTATTAAAAAGTCTCTCAAAAAAAAAAAAAAATCTCTCAACCTAAAAAAGCAAGCAACAGATTGGAAAAATATTGTAAAGGATTTTCAGAAAATGTGGCAAAGCTCTAATATCTTTGTCATAAAAAGAGATCATACAAATAGATGAGAAAAAAACCTCTGAGTCTCAGTAGAGAATTGGGTACATGATATACAGATGCAGTGTACAGGAGAAAATGTAAACCTAGAATGAGTCAGGTCTTCTTAGAAATGCTTTTGGAATGCGGGAGGGGAGAGGGGGTAGTTTTGGACATTGTGGATGGTGAGCCGCCATCCTTCTGTATCGTGTGTGCAGCCCCCTTTGCTGGAGATGTGTATGTGCCTCTCATCTGCAAATTATGTTGATGTATTTGCATATAAGGCTCCCTTGCTCCCTTCCCCTTATCCCATGGTGCACAGGCTCTATGGCACATGCATATCACATGTAAAGATTGTAGCCAACTCAGCATATCTACCACATGGCCTTCATGAAGCATACACTTTCTCTGTGGTAGAAACTACTTGTGTCTGCCTGTCCACTTGCACTGGGTATCTTGCACCAAGCCTGGAGGGCACAAGAATATACCTAGTGGGGTCTGAGGGAGGCAGGCTGGTGTGGGCCTGTCCTCGCAGAGCTGGCTCTTTTTCTGAGCCAGTGAAACTTAATAATGGGAAACAGTCCAGCAGAATAAGATGCTGATGTGACAGCAAGACTGGGCCTGCCCCTGGCCCGGCCCCTGGTCCACCGTGGGCACCTGTGGAAGTCACTTAATCTCTTTTTCCTTGCTTCCCTCATCTGTCTGAGGAAAGGATTGGACTTTCCGTATTCCTCAACCCTTGCCCCATAGCCAGGGTTTTTGTAGAACTTCACCGTCTGCACCTTTGTTTTCCCCAAATAAAATGGGACAGATATCAGCTTCTTTCCTAACTGCACATTGCCTTCCGTTTTCCACTCCTTCCTCCCCACTCGCCACCTCCGAGCTGGAGGGTAACCACACAGGGAAAGGGTGGGCCTTTGCAGGTCTGCAGACAATAGCGAAGATCTCCAGCCTGACGTTTCCTTAACTCAAAGGCAGGAATGAGGTAATTGACTTTAAGATACTTAAACTAGTGTCACGTGGAACATGAGTTGTTCGGAGAACACATTTTAAGAGTTTCCACCATTAGAGACCTTTGTGATATGCTGGCTTAGTCACAGGTAAACAAACGTCCTTATATCAGGACTTCTCGGTGTGTTTTTTGGTGGGCACTGAAATCTTCGAGAAGGGGGGTAAGTCTTCGGCTTTTCCCTAACCTGTTTGACCACGCCACCCTTTCTCCTGGAGAATCTTAAGGGCCTGATGTTCTGTGGGACTTACTTTGGGAAGCAGTGACTTTTCTTTTCGCCCATGTTTGCACTGGCAGTGATTCAGCCTTTTAATTTTGGGACTTAATGGACTTAACGTGCTTTAGCCTCCATTGCAGAAAAAAATACAGATTTCTTATCAGAAGCAGGCAGATGTAAGGTTATGAGGTCATTGCTGTTCATACTGCCTAGCTGTCACAAATCCAGTACAGGAATTGTTTAGAGCGGAGAGGATTGCTTTGAGAAAGGGATTTTTTTTTTCTCCTTGAGTACTTTCCAATGTGTACATTAGTTAAAACAACAACAACAACAACAACAAAACCTAATAGCCCTCAAGTTTTTGTGAACATAGTGGAGTAGCTAAATTAAGATTTTGTTTATTAGTACTGTAAAATTTTCTACAGAACTTTTGAGTGGAGTAGTTCAAGTTGACCTTAGAGTATGTTTATTAAACACAGTGTCTTTGGACATAACTGTGGATCAGCTGTCAGATGCCTCCGTGGTTTCTGGGAGGGGGCAGAGAGCAGTAACTTAACACTTCTGAGCATCACCAATGTTCCTTCACTAACAAGGGCCCACAGGTCCCTGTCTTTATCCCAGACTGTCTTTCTGAGATACATTTTCGTAGACTGTTGCTTCCCTTCTGCCCTGGATAAGAGTTGGGCTGAGGAAATTGAGCCCCGTGGAAGTCATTCCCAAGAACAATAAACAGGATCAGAGAGGCCCCTGGAGTATTGCATTTGCCATTTAATGGTCTGAGGAAAGGTCATCTGAGTTCAAGAACTCTCCACAAAGTGGGAAGGAGAAATTCTTTAACTGTGGTTTCTTTGACATTAGGGATGTGTACCTTGGCCTTAACAAGCTTCTGAAAGTTTGTAGCTTATAAGCAATAATACATTATGATAAAGATGTACTGGAAAGGTACTCTCGTCTAATGCCAGACATACCTGTTCTTCTTTTTTTAATTGGAGTATAGTTGCTTTACAACGTTGTGTTGGTTTCTGCGGTACAATGAAGTGAATCAGCTATACGTATACATATATCCCCTCCCTCTTGGACCTTCCTCCCAACCCCCACCATCCCACCCATCTAGGTCATCACAGAGCACCGAGCTGAGCTCCCTGTGCTATATAGCAGGTTCCCACTAGCTATCTATTTTACACATGGTAGTGTATTTCTGTCAAACCTAATCTCCCAATTCATCCCACCCTCCCCTTCCCCGCACCGTGTCCACATGTCTGTTCTCTGTGTCTTGTGTCTCTATTCCTGCCCTGCAAATAGGTTCATTTGTACCATACCTAGAGTCTGTCATACAGAGTGAAATGAAGTAAGTCAGAAAGAGAAAAACAAAGACATACTTATTCTTTAAATTAACATTTCTTCCCAGAAAGTCCTGGCTGTGGAGAGCCGTTGTCACTGGCTTACCGTGCAGCCCGAAGGGATGCTTTTAAGGCCCCTGGACCTCACTGTCCTCCTCATGAATGAAGGGCCAGGCAGGGCTCTATATTCAGGGATTCTGAGTCCAAATTTAGAGAGGGGAACAGACTTTCCGCTTGAACACAGATGCCCAGGCTGAGGACCGAGCATCAGTGGTGCTGCCGCAGGGGATTGGCTCTTTTGGTTCTCTGGGTTGGCCCCATGTGGGCTACCAGTAGTTGGGACCAGCAGTGGGGTCCTTCCCCTTAAGCTTTGGCCACATACCTGGATTCCTGAACGTCTTACCTGCCTCCAGGTGACAGGAGACAGGAGCTCTTTATGAAAGCTAAGTTAGCTGCGCGAACTCTTTTTTTACCACCTAAACTAAGTATGGGCATACTCCCCAGGGATATCCTTTTCCAGACGGGGGAAGGGCTCAGCTGCGTCACGTGACTAATGATGGGCCCAGGACCCAGGTCCCTGGATTCTCCTCCCAGGTGGTGCTTCTGGTCTGCCGGACAATCTTCTTGCTTATTCCTGGACTTTTCTGGCATTAACAAAACCTCTCATCTTTGCTGAATTGCAGAAATGGCTTCGGACATCCCTGGATCGGTGACATTGCCCGTTGCCCCCATGGCGGCCACTGGACAGGTGAGGATGGCCGGGGCCATGCCCGCCCGCGGAGGAAAGCGGCGTTCTGGGTAAGCAACCTCGGTGGTTCCAGGAATTGGGCTTAATACATGTTGAGCAACACTCTTGACCTGTTAGGAAAATATTGTCTCTCCCCCTCCTGGAGAATAAAAGCTCAGCAGTTTGCATCCTGTTTAGATTTTGCAAGATTCCTAACTATGCATGTGATTTGCCTCGAAGTGTTTTTGGGCCTCAGCACCCAGCTGGGGACATCTGTTTGCTTGTCCTTGTGGTGAGAATGGCTCTGTGATCCTGCTGGGCTTTGCTCAGGCCATCTCTCTGAGGGAGGGGACTTACCCATCCCTCTGCCTGAGCCCACCAGCCGGAGGGCAGCCCTGCAGGTCGAGCTTCAGCCCCTGTGGGCAGCAAAGATCCCTCTGGTGCTCTCTGTTCTTTGCTCCGTCTACCCGTCTTTGCTAGGTGGTGTGCAGGAATTCCTTTCCAAAAAACCGGCTCTAGCCCAGCACCTAAAGGCTGGGCAGCTTACACTGTAACCTGCTCTGCCAGTAAAGTTGGTAACAGTGTTAAGTTCTGGTGGGACCAGAAAGACCATCATTCCTAAACTGATGGAACCCGAAACGACGTCTACTCATGATGTATGGTGTCTGTAGCTGTGCAGAGATCTACGAAACCGATCAACCAACACAGATCCCTGCAGGAAAAACATAACCGACATTTTCAGACTCTGTATATCAACCAACCCCTTTCCTTCATTGAATCAATTTTATTTTCAGTGAAATATTTGATAGACAAATATTTGATAGACAGATACTTTCATGAAATAGAATCAATTTGTCCTATTAATGCAATTTCCAATAACCCAGGTCTCCCCAGGAAGACAAGGGTCCAGGCTCATTTGTAAAATGGTCCATCATTTTAAACCTGAGAGTCGCTTTTAAACCAGTGTGAGTCTTAAACGGGGCTGGGGGAGGGGGAGCAGGTATGTTATGAGGACCTGGGGTGGAATGGAGTAGGATGAAAAAGCCCCTTCAGCGTTATAACTTGAGATGGTGAAAAGACTGCTGTGTGTGTAGTAGTCTTTAAAAGAAGGGCTAAGATTTTGGTGATTAGTGAGAGGGTAATGGAGTCTGGTTCCCCAGCCTTCTCCCCTCCATTCAGCTTGCTCCCCTCCAGGGTGCTGATGCAGTCAGCGTTCCTTCCAGCGGGACCAGCAGAGCTCTCATGAGCAGTGTGGTGCCTGCGGCAGAACTCCTGAGATCAGCTTTATAGTAGGAAGCAGCCTGCCCTAGGGCTTACTACAAACCCAGACATCCTCTTTTAACCAGCTATTCTTGCTAACTAGGTGCTAAGCTCAGTGGAGTGTGGGTTGTTGAAAGAATGCACTTGATGTCAACATATAAACTTACTGAATTTTTTTTTTAAGATGCCAGGCCTTTTAAAAATTATTTTAAATGTCAGTGCTTGCTAACTTCCATTCCCTGGGGACAGAGCCTCATTGCTGGCCCAATCCTCTTTTTTTTTTTTTTTTTTTTTTTGGCCCAGTCCTTTTTAAGAAGAGGAAGCACAGGACTCTTTGTTTCTTTTTTTTTTTCTGTATATTTAACATTTTTTTAAATTTTATTTTATTTATTTTTTATACAGCCAGTCCTTATTAATTATCCGTTTTATACATATTAGTGTATACATGTCAATCCCAATCTCCCAATTCATCCCACCACCACCACCCCCCGCCACTTTCCCCGCCTTGGTGTCCGTACGTTTGTTCTCTACCTCTGTAGCACAGGACTGTTTGATGCAGGAAGGTGGGCTGGGCCAGGGCCAAGGACAGGCAGAGATGCTGGGGCTCAGTATTTGCAGGACAAGGAGCCCTCTCCGTGCAGAGCAGTCGTCGCTGAGCCTCTGCCACCCCTTCCGCAGGGTGTGTGCTGGGCCTACGCTTTGCTCAGGGCTGGGCTGTGGCTACTGCCCTCCTTGACCTCGCAGTTCCTGGCGTCCAGACCCTGACATCTGCTTGCTGCCTGAGCTGATGACCGGACAGTGGACTCGGTCTCTTTTCTGAAGAGGTCCTCCA